CATGGGAAGGGCCAGCACTGCAAGCCCCATATCTGGGTGGAGCCCCAGTGCCTGGTACTCGTGGTTAGATATGTTTGTTATCTCACTGGGCCCCATGACTGGGGCAAAGAGGAGGAGCTCCATGCTTAGTCCCGGTGCAGTGCTCAGCCTGTGCTGGGTCTGATGGAACCACTCAGCCCCTCTGACTTCATTTATATCTCACCACCACCACCACCCTATGAGGTTGGCAAGTGCCCATAGCACAGAGAGAGTATGGAGCCAGCCTCTAAGTTGGCAGGGCCAGAGCTTGATCCCAAGGAGTTAATTTACACCAAGAGCACACCATTGAATCAGCACATGGCAGCCATCCACAGATTCAGAAAAATGGAGGAATGTCCCTGGATTGTCTTAGGAAGTCCCATACTTAGCTAAGTGGCTTAAAGCACAGAAATGTTTTGTCTCATGGGCCCGAAGTCTGAAGTTGAGACTCTGACAATCCTCTCCTGGCTTCTGGGAGTGACTGGCAATCCTTGGCAATCATAGCCTGTCTTCACCTAGCCTTCTCCCTGTGTGGGTCTCTGTCCAAGCCCCTCCTCGGATCCCCCGCCCCCCAGCCCTGTTCTAATACTGGGTTTGAAGTCAAGGCTTCGTGCTCAAAGCTGATACTACTTGAGCCATACTTCCAGTTGCAGCTTTTTTGCTGGTTAGTGGGAGATACATTTCCCAGCTTTGTCTGCTTGGGCTGGCCTTGAACCTGCAACCTCAGATCTCAGCCGCCTGAGTAGCTAAGATCACAGGCATGAGCCACCTGTGGCCCTGCTCAAATTGCCCTGTTCTTACAAGGGCACAAGTCCCCCTAGTCCAGTGTGACCTCCCCGTAACTCACCTGCACAGACAGAGTCTGCATCTATGATGTCACTTTTACTGGTGCTTCAGTATTGAGCACACTCCAGGGACACAATTCTACCCACAACAAAAGGCCTCCTGGGAAGAGCTGTCCTGGGGGCACATTGGGAGGGGTAGCAGCTGTGGCAGGGTTGTCCGGAGAGGTCTGCTTGGTTGGGACTTTGTGACAGATCCTCTCTGGCCATCAGTGGTGATGTTTTATGGAAGTCTTTCCCTGTTGGTGAGCAATTCATTCTTTGATGAAGGTTCCTTTCTGGCACTGTGATTCGCATTGGAAACTAAGGTTCCTAATTCAAGTTCTTTAAGCTTTTTAGAAAACATGAGAAATGAGTCCCATGTGCCCCTGAGATTTCTACACAGTCCTATTTGTCTGCAGCAGGGCCTGTCTGGGGAGCCATTTGAGCAGCCTGGGAGTTTGGAAGTGTGCGTGTGTGCGTGTGTGTGTGGGGGTGTTGGCTCTGTGTATGTGTGTAGACACCTACAGAACCTTGTGCAGAAGGGCACCCACACACAGAGCCCAGAGGTCTACATGACATCTGTCACCTCCCTGTCCTCCCTGGTCTGGGCTCCCATGTCACTGTACCTGTGCGATCTTCCTGGACTCTCTCCCTACAATGACATCAGGCCCCACTGCCTTCTTGTTCCCTTCTGCACCCACTGCCCTTCCTGTGAACCACCTTAGTTTGCTTGCAGAGGGTTTTGCCTGCCTCTGCTCACTACAGAGGGGGCTCCAGGAGAGCAGTAAGTGCAGCAGAAGGGATTCAGAGAGGTGCACTGGGGACCCTGGGCTGGGGCATTTGAGCTGTGTGAGGGTTGCAGGAGGAAGGCCTCAGGGCAGTGGAGCCTGGACCAGGCCTTGGAGGAGCAGGTTGGGCTCTTCAGACTCACCCTCCTGCCCCCACACCAGCCATTTTCCTATCTCTGGGCAGTGGCCATGATAGGAGAGGTCCTCTGACCCTGTGCTACAGCTAGCTGGGGCACACGGAAGAAGGGGTTCTGGTGGGTCCTCCAGTGGGCTGGGGCTAAGAAGTGCTACAGCTTCTGGAATTGAGGCCTGGGTCTTACTACCCTGACAGGGCCAGAGAAGGGGAGCCCTGTCCAGATCTGGTTCTCCCTGGGAGAGCTGGGGCCAGGAGAAACCAGTCTATCTGGTTCCAGTGGTGAAATGGGCCTTCCCTGCAGTGGGGCGGGGAGCCAGGCGGCACAGCCAGAAGGAACACATTCCTCCAGGCTGTATTTGCTGATCTGGAAAGCAGGGGTGGGGTAGCAGCCGAAGGGCAGGGACAGGGGGTTTCTGGGTGCCCAGCCCTGCCCTTGGAGACAGCTGAAGTGCCTCAGGTTTCATGTCTCCCAGTCCTTGAGACGGGCAGATCTGGGTTCCAATCCTACCTGGCTTTTTAACCCATGGTGACTACAGTCATGTCTCTTGAGCATCTATTCAGAAAATGGGGTGACTCGTGGGGTTATGGGCGGCACCTCCCATGCCTGGCACAGAGCAGGAGGTGTGACCCTGTGACAAAGCCTATGCGCTCAGAGCATGGGATGGAAGGCTGCAGTCAGGGGAGCATCGACTGGCCTTGCTTGTTTGATCTTGTTTGCCCCACCTTGCCTCGCTTCTTTTTAGATCTACACATTTGTCCCTGAGAGGCCACTGGTCACCTGGAGGGGCCTGAGGTGCCACCTCCATAGTATTTGTTCTGAGGCTTGCGCTGGGGTGTATCTCTTAGGCAGGGTGCCCTTGGGGTGGGTGGTAAGAGGTGGGTGGGGCCTCACTACTGAGGCCTCTGCCACTGTGTGCCTGTGGCTACAGGCCAGGGCTCCCTGCTACTCTGCCCCTTCTACCTCTCTGGAAAGTGATCCCAGGGCCAGTGGTTGCTTGTGGAGGGGGGTGGTGAGAACAGGTCTGGGTGAGCTGAGTGGGTGCAGAGTAGAGAAAGACTCCCTGGGCCTTCTGCCTAGAACTTGAACTCAGGGCCTTCAGTTCACTTGCTTACATAGGGTTTTGCCTGGCTCTGTTTGCTACAAAGAAGGCTTTTTGCTTAGGGCTTCTGTGCTACTACTTGAGCCATACCTCCTCTAATGCCTATTTGGTGGCTAACTGGAGAGAAAAATTGCAAGGATTTGTTTGCCCAGGCTGGCTCTGAATGCAGTTTTGCAGATCTCAGCTGCTTTTATTTTTATTTTTTTGTCAGTGGTGGGGCCTGAAGTTGGGGCCTGGGTGCTGTCCCTCAGCTCTTCAGCTCAAGGCTAGCATTGTACCACTTGAGCCACAGCACCACTTCTGGCTTTTTCTGTTTATGTGGTGCTGAGGAATTGAACCCAGGGCCTCATGCATGCAAGGCAAGCACTCTACCACTGAGCCACCTTCCCAGCCCCAGATCGCAGCCTTTTTAAGTAGTTAGGATTACAAGTGTGTGCCACCAGTGCCCAGCCCGGTGACCACAGGGGGTCATTGGTTCCCAGGGATGTGCTGTTGTGGCAAGGGAAGGCAACCCAGCCTGGCCCTGTCCTAAATGGGCCCTCTGCCAAGCCATACTCTGTAAGCTCTCCTGCCCTCTGCCCCCTGGCCCTTGCCCTCTGCCCCGATGGGGAAACTGTCCATGTCAAATTCCCTGTGGTAGGGCTGGGAATGTGGCTTAGTGAAAAAGTGCTTATCTAGTTTGCAGGAGGACCTGGGTTTGATTCCTCAGTACCACATAAACAACTCCCCCCCAAAAAAAGTAAATAAAATTAAGAAAAAAATAGAATCAAATTCCCCATGGCCCAGAGGGATAAAAGCAAACACTGTCATTGTGTGGGATCATGGGTTCTCCGTCAGTCATGGGGCTTGAACTCTGGGCCTGGGCATTGTCCCTGAGTAATTCAGCTCAAGGCTAGCACTCTGCCACTTGAGCCACAGCGCCACTTCCAGTTTTCTGGTGGTTTATTGGAGATAAGAATCTCATGGACTTTTCCTGCCCAGGTTGGCGTTGAACCGCAATCCTCAGATCCTCCTGAATTGCTAGGATTACAGGTGTGAGCCACAGGTGTCTGGCAGGTACTTGTTTTATTAGTGGTGCTCACAGCACAGAGAGGTTATGCGCTGGGATCACACCAGTGTTGAGTGGAGAAGGAATTAAGCCAGGCACACATACTCCTGGCATGTCCAGGCCCCTCCTGCTACTCAGTGCCACATACAGACTTGGGTTTGCTGGAAAGACAGGATGCTAGGCACTTGCAGAGCTGGGCAATTGGGAGTCAGGGAGGTGGGGCAAGAGAGGGCTTGGGGAGACATCAGGTGGGCGGTCATCAAAGTCCTCCGGGTCCTAGTCAGCATGAGGACACGCAGGTTTTTTTTTTATTTCCCTCTCCCCCACCCCCCAGTTGTGGGGCTTAGCCTCAGGGCCTGGGTGCTGTCTGTCCCTGGTCTCTTGCTCAAAGCTAGCACTCTACCACTTTGAGCCACAGCTCCACTTTTGGTGTTAATAGGGGATAAGTCTCATGGACTTTTTTCCTGCCTGGGCTAGCTTGGAACTGTGATCCTCAGATCCCAGCCTCCTAAGTAGCTAGGATTACAGGTGTAAGCCACCAGCATTCAACTTCTTTTTAAGAAGTGGATGAAATTTATATCACAAAATTAACCGTTGTACACAGGCTGGTGTTTTAATCCCGTCTCTGGGACTGCATGCCCAGACAACTCCCAGGGTCATGCAGGTGACTTGATCTTCCTTGGAGCAGGTTTTCCTGCATCCCTGTCCAGGCACAGGTCTGTACTGGGTGTTGGGATACAACCATGAGTTAGCTCTGCATCTGCCCTTAGGGAGATCCAAGTCTGGGAAAGAAAACACTACTACCTCGTGTACCGGGTACCTGGGGCATGAAGGTTCTAGAACCCAGGTTACAGGAATAGGAACTATTATCTCTGCCACATGACACCCCATATCACATTGCATAGTGAGGGTCAAACAGAAATGAGTAAGAGTGGCCAGGCAAAGGCCCTGACACAGAAGTACATAGTGGGGGCCAAATCAATAGTTCTTGACAGAAAAAATAAAGGTCAAGGCCAGAAGCTAGGCCTGTGGTTTCCAGCTGGAGTTGGGGATCTCTGAGAGACCATTCCTGTCTTGTCCCCACAGGTGCTGGGGCTGCTGGTGTGGGCCCTGATTGCTGACACCCCATACCACCTGTACCCTGCCTACGGCTGGGTGATGTTCGTCGCTGTCCTCCTCTGGCTGGTGACAATCGTCTTCTTTATCCTCTACCTGTTTCAGCTGCACATGAAGTTGTACATGGTGCCCTGGCCGCTGGCGGTGAGTCTCACGGGCACTGGGCTCCAGGTTGACCCCTCTGGCCTCTGAGTGACCACAACAGGCCCATCGTGACCTTCCATAATGAGGAACAGTGGGTGGGAGTGGGCAGGGGGAGGTCCTTGCTGACCCCCAGCTCTCCTGCAGAGCTAGGGTCTGGGGAGATCGGTGGTTCTGGTGGCCCAGTTATTTTTTGAGGGGGGGGGTCTGGTCATGGGGCCTGAACTCTGGGCCTAGGCGCTGTCCCTCAGCTCTTCAGCTCAAGGCTAGCACTCTCCCACTTGAGCCACAGCGCCACTTCCGGCTTTTTTCTTTTTGCTTATGTGGTGCTGAGGAATCGAACCCAGGGCCTCAGGCATGCAAAGCAAAGTGCTCTACCACTGAGCCACCTTCCCAGCCCGTGGCCCAGATTTTTAAGAGCCATGCTTGACTTTGGGTCTGTTGAGTGGATTCAAATGAGGCCATCTAGAATTTGGAAAATTCTGTTCCTTTTCATGGTCAGAATTGGAGCCCGAGTCTGTGGCTGGGTCCAGGCAGGCAGCCCTGTGATGGATGGAGGCTAGAGAGTCCGGAGTGGCCCAGGCTGGGGCCTGGCATGTGTGGGAGGCCTTGAATCCAGAGGCGGGGCACCCCAGCTTTGCTCTGAGGCAGTCCCAGGATGGAGGAAGTACCCTGGACAGAGAGAAGGCTGCTGGGGTTTTCTCTGACCAGGAAGCCTCCACAGCTGGGATCTGAGCCTTTCAGTGAGCAGAGAGGCACGTGATTACAAGACTAGGCAACATTGTTTGCAATTCAATGACTTGTCAAACCAAGGAAATGTGAGTCACCCTCAAGACAGAATGGGCTTGTTAGACCTTGACATCACTGGCTGGAGCCAGGCAGGATTTGCAGTGGCTGCTGGGGCACAGTTGGCAAGAAGGTGATCTGAGGGCAAGCAAGCAACAGCCTGCCTTCGAGCTCCCTGCCCCGTGACCTTGGCTTCTAAGAGGCCTGTGGAACTGAAGGCCTCTGGCTTCTAAGACATGTTTGGGCTCTGGTACAGCTGTCTGAAGGTGGCTGCTTTCCAAGGCCCCAGTGGCTGGGCACCATCTCTAGGCTCTTGGACCAGTGCCAGGCCAGGCAGAGAGGGTGGGGCTGCCTTTGGAGAGGGATTTATGGACAGCCCATCCTGTGTGGATCCTCTGGTCAGGGCTACTAGTCACAAAGGGTCCAGGCAAGATGATGTGTGAGGTAGGTCAGGAGGGGCCTAGAAAACACGGCCTATTATCTGTCCTGGAGACCCACTACTACTCAGGCCTGTTGGAAGTGCTGGGGTACAGGTCCCTTGGAGCCAAATCTTTTATCTTATAGCACTGAGGACCCAACTCAGGGTCCTGTGTGTGCTAGGCAAGTGCACTGTCACTGAGTTGTATGTCTAGCCCCAAGAGTTTTTATTTTATTTATTTTGTTGGTTGTGGGGCCTGAACTCTGGGCCTGGGCTCTGTCCTTCAGCTTAAGGCTAGTGCTCTACCACTTGAGCCACAGTTCCACTTCTGGCCTTTTCTGCTTATGTGGTGCTGAGGAATTGAACCAGGGCCTCATGCATGCAAGGCAAGCACTCTACTACTGGTCCCCAAGAGGTTTTTTTTTTGTCGATCATGGGGCTTGAACTCTGGCCTGGGCACTGTCCCTCAGCTCTTCAGCTCAAGGCTACCACTCTACCACTTGAGCCACTGCACCACTTCTGGTTTTCTGAGTGTTTTATTGGTGACTAGAATCTCACAGAGTTTCCTGCCTGGGCTGGCTTTGAATCGCAATCCTCAGATCTCAGCCTCCTGAATAGCTAGGATTATAGGCATGAGCCACCAGCGCCTCATTCCCAAGAGTTTTTAATATGAAACTTTTATATTAAAATTTGTTGCCAGAGCTGGGAAGGTGGCTTAGTGGTAGAGTGCTTGCCTCTCATGCATGAGGGCCTGGGTTTGATTCCTCAGCACCACATAAACAGAAAAAGCCAGAAGTTGCGCCGTGACTCAAATGGTATAGAGCACTAGCCTTGAGCTGAAGAGCTGAGGGACAGCGCCCAGGCCCAGAGTTCAAGCCCCACAACCAACAGAAAAAAATTGTTCCCATATGAAATTTTTAAATCTTAAAAAAAACATAAAAGAGAACTATCAGCCCAGTGCCTGTGGCTCATGCCTGTAATCCTAGCTGCTCAGGAGGCTGAGATCTGAGGGTCGTGGTTCAAAGCCAGCCCGGGCAAGAAAGCCCATGAGACTCTTATCTCCAATTAACCATCAGAAAACCGGAAGTGGTGCTGTGGCTCAAGTGGTAGAGCGCTAGCCTTGAGCTGAAGAGCTGAGGGACAGCGCCCAGGCCCTAAGTTCAAGCTTCAGGACCAGCACAAAAACAAACCAGGAAAAAAAAAACCAACAAAAACAAATGAATGAACAAACAGAGAACTATAGCTGAGTTCAGTGGCTCACACCTATCATCCTAGTGAGGAGGCTGGGATTTGAGGATTATGGTTGAAAGCTAGCCTGGGCAGGAAAGCCTGAGATTCTTAGCTCCAATTAACTACCCCCTCCCCCAAAAGCCTATTTTTTTTTTTTTTGTCGGTCGTGGGGCTTGAACTCTGGGCCTGGGCGCTGTCCCTCAGCTCTTCAGCTCAAGGCGAGCGCTCTACCACTTGAGCTACAGCGCCACTTCCAGTTTTCTGGTGGTTTATTGGAGATAGGAGTCTCATATTTTTTCTGCCCGGGCTGGCTTTGAACCGTGATCCTTAGATCTCAGCCTCCTGAGTAGCTAGGATTACAGGTGTGAGCCACCGGCGCCCGGCAGCCTATTTTTTTTTAAAAAAGCCAGAAGTGGGGTTGTAACTGAAGGGGCAGAGCACTGGTCTTGAACACAAAAGCTCAGTAGCAGCACCCAGGCCCTAAGTTCAAGCTTCAGGACCAGCACAAAAACAAACCAGGAAGGGCTGGGATGTAGCTCAGTGGCAAAGCGCTTGCCTAGCAAGCGCAACGTCCTGGGTTCGATCCCCAGTACCAAAAAAGAAAAGACAAAAAAAAATAGTTAAAAAAAACAAACCAGGAAAAATACAACAAAAACAGTTAGGGGCCACCAGCATTTTGGAGGTGGATCTGGGGCCTGCGTGCAGTTTGACTTAGTGTCCTCTGAGATCCTGACTTTGAGGTTTGCCTTGAGCCTAGGATGTGGCCAAAGGGAGCTGTAGATTCTCCCCCTGGAGAAAGCTGACCCCCATCCCACATCCCCCAGCCAGCCCCAGGCTTGGCCTTAGTGCCGGGAGGCAAGGCCTGGACCCTAGACTTAGAGGTGGATCACAGGCTTTGCCTGGTGCTGCCGTCAGGTCATTCTTCAAGCTTTCCCACCGTCCCACTTGGCTTCAGGGGAGTGTATCACACTTCCTGCCCTGCTGAGTCTTACGTTTTTCTTCCTACTTCTGCCAGCTAATGGTCTTTAATATCACTGCCACCATTCTCTACATCACTGCCTTCATCACCTGTTCTGCTGAAGTTGATGTGAAGTTCCTGAAGGGCACCCGGTCCTATAACCTGCGTGCTGCTGCCTCTGTGAGTATAACCCTGCCCCCTGCCCCCCCAATCTCTGCCCCTGTTTGAGGCCAGGCCCTGGCCATCTCCTGGCACTAACTGAATGCTCAGCGGGTCTCCACAGGGAGCTAAGCTCAGGTGGTGATGGAGTTTAGTGAGTAAATCTGGAGTGGCTTGTGGTGTCCAATGGAAGTTATGGGTGAGCTATGAAGCTCTGCTGAGAATCCCTTGTGCCACACTGATTTGGGGTATGCCAACTACAGATCCTTCCTTGTCTCTGGCAAATGCACACGCAAATTGGATTTAGGCCCTATCTGGGGCCTTGTAGTCTCTCCCAGCCAAGTCCAAAATTAGGCTCAGTCATCCCCATACCTGTCATACTTGTTCCACAAGGCCCTGTACACTTTGCTGCAGTACGAAAGAAGGGTCTACTGGTCTCTTTACAGACCAGGAAACTGGCTCGGACAGGCTAAGTATGGTACCTGGAGTTGTTATGTCTGGGTAGGGAACCTGGTTTTAAAAAGCAGTGAACTCAGTTGGGTATGGAACATCTGAACACAGATAAAAGAAGTGTGAGTGTAGAAAATGTGTGGGGTAGGGCATGGTAGTGCATACCTGTAATCCTCACACTTGGGAGGCGGAGACAGGAGGATCATGAGTTTGAGAATATCTGAACTCCATAGTGAAATCTTGTCTCAAAACCACCAAACAAGCCGGGTGTTGTTGGCTTATGCCTGTAATCCTAGCTACTCAGGAGACTGAGATCTGAGAATCACGGTTCAAAGCCAGCCCAGGCAGGAAAGGCTGTGAGACTCTTAACTCCAATTAATAGCCAGAAAACCAGAAGTGGCTCTGTGGCTCAAGTGGTAGAACACTAGCCTTGAGCTGAAGAGCTGAAGGACAGTGCCCAGGCCCTGTTCAAGCCCCATGACTGACAAAAACAAAAAAACTACCAAACAAGAAAGCTGGATGTTTTTTGTTTTCCTTGTCATGCTAGGGCTTGGCCAGGTAAGCCCTTCCCCAGCCAGAGATATAGAGGGGGCTTTGATCCTGTTACTTTTGTCACATTATCCTGACACACCCTGCCTATGAGGTTTTAACTGTTTTCCCCACTCAGCATGTAATGCCAACCTTCTCAGCCACAGCAACCAGCTTTGGATGATGGGGCTGGTGCCTCTGTCCTATTGTCCCCCGCAATACTCCATTCAGATTGGTCATCTGGGTCCCTTTTCCTTTCAGTTCTTCGCCTGTCTGGTGATGATCACCTATGGAGTGAGCACTTTCTTCAGCTTCCAGGCCTGGCGAGGAGCAGGCAGCAATGCAGCCACCAGTCAAATGGCTGGTGGCTATGCCTAAGCCACCTGTGCTGTGGCCCACACCAGTGCAGGGCTACCTACATGCCCAGGGCCGGGGCCCTGTGGGTCAGCGCAGCGCCCTGCTCAAGGGACATCAGCTCTTCAGTACTCCTGAGGATGCAGGCCTGGGATGAACCTGTGTGGGTGTGGTAAAGACTTCCTCATCCCCCTTATTCAGCAGAAGGTGACGGGGGATGTGGGGTTTTCTCACGGGCAGTCTTGCCTTGGAGGACCTCAGGCTCCAAGGCTGGGCCCATCCCTCTCACTCAGCGCTAAATGCACTAACAGACTCCAAGCCTGAGCCCTGAGCTGCCATAGGATAAGCTAACAAGCAACACAGATATCATAGCCTTTGTTTCTGGAGAGCCAAGCAAGCCCACCACCATTCCTTAAGGGGCCACCCTGACCTCCCCCAGGCCCGTGTGTCACCCAGCAAGGCAGCCTGGTAACTTCCTCAGCTGTGATCCTCCTTGTGAAATGGTGACATCCATGCAGATTGCTTCCCCAGGCTGCTGATCAAGCTCATGGAATGCAGGAGGGAGGGAACAGGACTTTGCCTGAATTGTCACATGGTTGGTGGTATCTCTGGGTTTTTTGTTTTGTTTTTTACAATTTAAATAAAGATGAAGGAACTTATTTGGAAAAGATGTTGAAATCGTAACTGTGGATGTGTGTAAACTCCAGGAAGCGGTAGATGAAGACTGCAGAGACTCCAAAATGCCTATTCGAGGCCAGGCCAGGCTGCAGAGTTACTCAGTGCCACTAGCCAGCTGTCCTGAGAGAGGATTGCTCTACTTGCTGCGGACTCTGTCTCAAGTAGTCCTGGCCTAATGTATCTGAGGGTGGAGCTCAATGGCAAAACATATATATGATTACTGCAGTCCCTCCATACTGCACCCCCAGGAGTCCAGATTAGCTACCCTTGTGCTCATAGCAGGGATTTCAGTAACATTATTTGCCTTGTAAGTGTGTGAAGCTTAGACATGCTGTCATCTAGGTGGCTGCCTTCTGTACCTCAGCTGGTAGCCAGTAAGCAGAGGGCAGCCCAGTCTTGAGCTGATTTTGCCACTACCATATAAGCAACACCCTCTGAATAATAAACTAAAAACACTTCGAGGCACCTTTTAGTATTTCTAATATATATATATATATATATATATATATATATATATATGTATATATATAAGCTGGGTGGTGGTGGTGGCTCACATCTGTAATTCTAGCTACTCAAGAGGCTGAGATCTGAAGATCATGGATCAAAAGCCTGTCCAGGCAGACAAATCTAAGAGACTTTTATTTCCAATTACCCAGCAGGAAGCCAGAACTGGAGGCATAGTTCAAGTGCCAGTGCCAGCCATAAATGAAAAAAAGTGAGACTGCGTGGTTTAGAGTTCAAGCCCTAGTACCAGTATTTGTGCCTGTGTTCATGGGCATGTACACACAGACACACACTTAGGTTCAGCTGTGGATGGGCCTCGGCTATAGAGGGATAGGATCAAGTCCAGCTTCCATCTCAGTGTATACTTGCTGTCCTGCTATTGTACATATTAATGACACTGGTTTTACTCTCCAGTGTTAGAATTTAATCATTTCTTGTCATTCCAGCATTAAGTCATAAAGAGAGGCTAGTTTTAAGGAAGAGGCTTAGAGCCTACCCCTCCATTTTAGGCAGCACTGCTTGGCAGCCCACCCACCTTAGGCACTTTCTAGTTAAAGTTATCTGCAAGATCACTTAGAATGCTAAGCTACTAGTCTTGCTTTTGCTTTTTTCCTAAGTAGGAAGAATGGAAAGAACAGTTTACCTTCCTTCTCAGTCTTCACCTCTGACTTGTATACTTGCCACTTCTCCACTAGGCAGGCTGCCCATGGACCTTACCATGTACTCCCACTGTGTCCACTGTGATGGGCAGTTCTGCAAGGAGCAGGGAGGGCAGGGCCCGAGGGCAGCATCTATAAAGCTGTTAATAACCAGGTGGCGCTGGGTACTTTAAAGAGAGGACTGCTCATTTAGAATGATGGTTCTTGCAAAACACCTTGAAATTTTACTCAGGTTACAAAAGTAGCAACAAACTACTACAGAAAAACACATAGTATAGCATAAAGCTCATCCTCTGAAACTGCAACAGTCACTGAAAAGCCAGGATGGGTTTTGGTGTCGAAAGTACATATTAGGAATCGAACTGCTTTCTGGCTAGCTATAGTCTACCAAATGCTGCTCTAAACCAAGGCAGACAGGTGACCAGCAAAGCTGTCCCCCACCCACTCTGTGCTGAGCTAGACCTTCTCAGATAGGTTTTTGACAGAAGAAAAAATTGCTTCTCTACCTCCTCCCAAGAAAGCCCACCAAACTGGTTTATGCAGAAAGGATTTTAAGCAAACCTGCACATACACTTAGCATGCTCCAAAAGCAGGGCAGTTCCTACTCTATTTCTAGCACATAGCCTATGTTCACTGGAGCCAATACAACAGGTGCACCAGTGCAGAGAGCATCTTTGCCTTCACAGAACTAACTCAAAAGAACACAGAGAATACTTTGATCTTAAGTGGGGGATCATGACAGTTCCATGACCATATATATCTAACCAGGCTAGCCTGAGTTTTCATCTATAAAAATATTTTTTTCAAAAATAATGCCTAAGAGATTTCTAGAAAGTGGGACTACATGAGAACAAACAGCAGAGTGGTACAAGCACTGCAGATGTAAGATAGTTTTTGGGTAGAGGATGTCTCTCTCAGTTGGTTCCTACAGCCAGCACACCTTATGGCGGACAGCTGGCAGGAGGATCTGGCAAGGTGAGTAGTCCCAGACAAACTGACCCATGTGACAGAGCTGTGCACACACTGACTTGTGCCAAGTCTGCTGGGACAAAGGGCTCATGATGACGGGTTATTTCACGCTGTTGACACTCCATGTGCCCTGGAGAGGGGTCTGGCTCAGAAGCACCTGGGAGAGGTGTCTACATGGGGAAGGAAAGAAGCACGAGGGTGGCTGAATACAAGAAGATGTTCTAGGAGAAATGGTCCAGAAGGATCAGGTCATGTTGTCTGTGACCCATCAATACTTAACATAAATGGCAACACAGCAGCAGTCTTTCAGAGACCATGTCTGTGGGCATAACTGAAGTCTCTAAGCCTACCAGGCTAGTGACATCATCCGAGATGGTCCCACCCATTGCCTGGAGGTGGGCCCTAGTGACGTACATTGTTCTGGGAGGCTGGTGTAGAAGATGATTTGCATAAGGACGTCACCACCAAGCCACTGCTCAAGTCTAGTCCTCGTCCTTCTTTTTCCTACAAGAGGAAAAAAAAACAACAAAAAATGTTCAAGAGGCAAGGAACATAAAAAGGGCTTTCAGTTTCAGGCCCCTGCTTTTAGCCTGGGAAAGGGGGAAGGAGTTTATAGTGGCAGAGTGGCTGTGTGGACCCACAGGGGAGTACACAAAGCAGGGTGGTTGGCCTTAGGTGCTTTTAAAAATGATCCTTTTCAGCCAGGTGCTGGTCTCTCATGCCTATAATCCTGACTACTCAGGAGGCTAAGATCTGCGAATTGATTCAGAGACAGTGGCCAACCCCTGAGTTCAAGCCTCAGGAGCAGCACCAAAAAAAAAACAAAACAAACCCCCCAAAACAAAAAACAACCTCTCTTCTCTGGAAAACACTTCCTGCAAAGAGCCTGCATTACAAGCTGGCCTGGTGGAGCACACTCGTGGCATCTTGAGAGGTAGGGTAGGAGGACTGTCTCAGGTGGACTGGGGCATAGTGGTAGGGCCCTTGCTTAGTATGCATGAAACCCTGGGTTCAATCTCCAGGCTTGCCAAAAAATAGTGAAGACTAAAACCTGGGTTGCAAAAAAAGTGAGGAGATTCTATCTGTTCTTTACTTTGAGCTCTTGTGACTATTTAGAGACTCCCTCCACCACCACCCCTGGGTGGTACCTGGGCCTATCTCTCCAGCATATGAAAAGGTCTGGCTTTTGGGGCAGCCCCCTTGACTGACACCTCGCTAGTTGTGTAGCTGCTATTGCCCAGTTGTAATGGGAAACATGATGGGAAGCAGGGGAGGTTGTGTTTAATACCTCTGCTTGGAATTCTCTAAGAGGTTCGGGATAGCAGGTAAAGGTAGTCAGAACTTACTGCTCTGTAGTCCAAAAACATTTCTTTAAATGCCAGAAAATCAGTAAATGTGAGCAGCATGTCAAATATGTCACCAGCTACTTCATCTTTATGGTGCCTGCAAAACAAAGGGCTGTGATGATGCCCCGTGGAGTGGGGAGGGCCTCCCGCCCAGGACCTCGCCCCCAAGTGCTCTCATGGGAAGTTGCAGGAAGGAAGGAAGGAAGTTAGGACAGAAATGGAATGGAGTGAACAAACTCACTGTAATGTTGTTGTGAAAGTGGCCATGTTGAATCCAGGGATCCGCTCCAGCAGCTGTTCTTCAATATATTTTTCTACCAGAGAAATCTACAACAGTGGAAAGGATCTTGGTTAGACTCCGCTTTAGGGAAACAAGACTTCCTTTCAGAAAACCTGCCCCCATCCTTGGCGAGCATCTCCTGAAAGCCTATGCTGAGTGCCAGGGTTACGAAGGGAGACAAAACCCAGCTGTCCTGGGCCCGCATGGTACAGAGAGGGGCATTTGTGGGTAACTGTGCCTAACAGGATGATCACTCTAAGGCAGGTGGAGAGGGCCCCCAGTAGGCTCTCATAGGAAGTGGGGTTATTCTCCCCAAATAACCCCACCTATGAGGTCTGTGCACACAGAAAACATATGAAGCACAGAAAGAACACAGTTCACAGGTCCTGCCAACCTGTTTTTCTCCATGGTTTCATGTTCAGAAAATAAAATCCTGGAGGCTCAAACCTAGTCTTAGATAGATGAAATAATTCCAGAAGGCCACAAGAGATTTCAGGGTTTGATGTAAAACCCAAGGGTGAGGCGAAGGTCCTGTATTCTAGTCTTAGTTTCTCACACTTAGTGACTCTCTCTGCTTGTTCTCTCTTTTACATAGTTCCTGACTAGCTGATAAAGAATATAGTGTTTGGGCCTGGGAAGGTGGCTCAGTGGTAGAGCGTTTGCCTTGCATGCATGAGGCCCTGGGTTCGATTCCTCAGCACCACATAAGCAGAAAAAAAAGCTGGAAGTGGCGCTGTGGCTCAAGTGGTAGAGTGCTAGCCTTGGGCTGAAGAGCTGAGGGACAGCGCCCAGGCCCAGAGTTCAGGCCCACGACTGGACCCCCCCCCAAAAAAAAAATACAGTGTTTGAACAATATTTATTAAATTGGGCAAGGTGGTGCACACCTATAATCCCAGCTTTCAGGAGGATGTTAAGTTCCAGGCCAGCCTGTGTTATATACACTCTTGCTGTCTCAAAAACCCAAAGGCTGCGAATGTGACTCAATGGAAGAATACTTACCTACCATGCCTATGGCCTAAAGTTTGAGTCCCAATACTGAAAAATAATAAGTTTAAATAAGCACTCAAATGCAAGTTTGTTGAAGTGGTATGCTGAAACTGAAGGTAGGACATAATAAAGCCAAACTTCTCCTAAGTGAGAAGTTCGTAAGCTCAAATATTGCCTGAAAGCCTGTTGAAAAGCAGCCTTTTGAAAACAGCTCAACTACTGCCTGACTTTTGAAAAGAGCTGGAGAAAAATGAACCAAAGCAGATTCTAACCATAATCCCTGGCAGTATTTCAAAAGATGAGCAAATTTCAACACCTGATTCTAAATCCAACTTTTTTTCTTTTTCTTTTTGGCCAGCATTGGGGCTTGAACTCAGGGCCTGGGCACTGTCCCTAAGCTTCTTTTGCTCAAGGCTAGTGCTCTACCACTTGAGCCACAGCACCACTTCTGGCCTTTCCTGTGTATGTGGTACTGAAGAATTGAACCCAGGGCTTCGTGCATGTGAGGCAAGCATTCTACCATTAAGCCACCTTCCCATCCCTTAAATCCAACTTTAAAGAAACCCTATTTTATTTATTTTTGGGTCTGGTCATGGGGCCTGAACTCTGGGCCTGGGCGCTGTCCCTCAGCTCTTCAGCTCAAGGCTAGCACTCTACCACTTGAGCCACAGCACCACTTCCGGCTTTTTTCTTTTTGCTTATGTGGTGCTGAGGAGTCGAACAACAGGGCCTCAGGCATGCAAGGCAAGCGCTCTACCACTGAGCCACCTTCCCAGCCCATGAAACCCTAATCTATTAAGAGAAGCACAAATCTCTACTTACATATTCGTTAAAAATGGGCGTGTAGGTAAGTTTATTCTCTTCGGTGTCTTCAAACTCCTGGTAATACTTGTCCATGAAGTTTCTCTGTAATAACTGGAACTCATCATCTGAGCCACAAAGGGGAAATGTATTGTTTTTAATGGAGACTAAAGCCATTCAGATTTATTGGGCGGGGGGGAGGAGGAAGTACTGCTTCTCAGCAGCCTGCCTCTAGAGAGGAAAGGCTAGGATTCAAGAGAGGTTAAATGGGACACCAGTGTTCAAATAGAACAATCAGTCTTCTTAAAAACTGATAAGATATTTTGCCAGTTACCCAGTACTCAGTGTACAGTTTCAGGGGCTTCAAATTGTTCACACTGCTGTTCAAGCAGTTGTAAACATCCATATGGATGGCCTGGGGGAACTTTCTTACCTGGCCTGTCAGCAAGGGAACGACTACGTCCCTGCAACCTTCTCCTTCCCCTCTCCCCTCACAAAATTTTATTGTGCACACAGAAGGTCAGTTCCCCAACTGGGGGACTTCAGATGAATTTTAGCAGCAATATGGAAATAACAGGAATGAAAAGTGCGGCCTGACAAGAGGCTGGACATCCTCAGTTCCTCAGCCATGTACTAGTTGTGCGGCCTCAGACTATTCACTTATTTATTTATTTATTGCCAGTCATGGAGCTTGAACTCAAGGCCTGTGTACTATCCCTGAGCTCTTTGGCTCAAGACTAGTGCCTTAGTAAAGCTTTACTTCTGGTTTTCTGGTGGTTAATTGGAGATAAGAGTCTCATAGGGACTTTTAGGCCCAGGCTGCCTTTGAACTGTGATCCTTAGATCTCAGCCTCCTGAGTAGCTAGGATTAACAGGTGTGAGCTACCACACCTGGCTTCATACCACTTATTTCTATCAACTCCAAATTCCTCATCTGAAACATGCTGATTTTATCATATGGGATTGCTAGATGAAATGTGGATATTCACGTAAGTAGTAATATTCCTGCTACTGAATAGGATCTTATTTCCAAATAAGAAGAATGCTTCAAGGGCAGCTCCCACAACCTGCCTCTAGGTTAAATACCCTGAGCTTACAGAGGCTCATTCCCTCACAGCAGACAGGGTGCCTGGTAAGGGGCAGTATTTGAGAGAGCTGAGGGGTAAACCATTCATACTTGAGACTTCAGAACACTGACCTTTACAGGACCTGAAGGGTCACAAATTAACAACTTCCATACTACACTGGATTAACCTAGATAGCCAGTAACTGCAAATCACTTTTTTCCCTAATTCTCAGAGAACATAAAAGACTATGGACAAAAAGTTCTCTCAAGTTTAAGTCTTTTCCTTCCCCATGTTTGCTTTAAGTTCTGGGGCCTATTACTGCTTATTTGATACTTAGCAGGACTTATTAAGGTACTAAAGGAATCTACAAATGGGATTTGTTTTTTTTGGTTGGTGTGACTTGAATGCTGGGCTTGCGTGCTGTCCCTCAGCTTTTCAGCACAAGGCAAGTGCTCTACCACTTGAGCCACAGTGCCACTTCTGGCTTTCTGGTGATTTATTGGAGATAGGAGATAGGACTTTGCTGCCAGAGCTGGCTTTGAACCATGATCCTCGGATCTCAGCCTCCTGAGTAGCTAGGATTACAGGCGTAAGCCACTGGTGCCTGGCTTCAAATGGGAACTTTTAAGCTCAGGAAAACAGAACCAGCTGAATTCTGATTCCTTATATTCTTCATGGACATGTGTGGGTTTTATGTTGTTTGATGGCATAAAAATGCTAGGATTTACCTGGTACTGGTGGCTCACTGTAATCCTAGCTTTACTCAGAGGCTGAGATCTGAGGACTGAGGTTTGAAGCCAGCCCTGGCAATAAAGTCCCTGAGACTCTTATTTCCAATTAATCTCTGCCCTCCCCTCACAACTGGAGGTGGAGCTGTGGCTCAAGTGGTAAAGCACTAATCTTAAGCCAGCCAAAGAGACTAAGAGACTAGGACAGTGCCCAGGCCCCAAGTTCAAGCCCCAGGACTGGCACCAAAAAAAAAAAAAAAAAAAGAAAAAAAAGGCCAAAACTCAAGCCAGATGCTGATGACTCACTCACACCTGTTATCCTAACTACCCAGGAGGTTGATACATGAAGATCTAGGTTCAAAGCCAGCCCAGTAGAAAAGTCCATGAGACACTGATTTCCAAATAACTATCAAAAAAGCTAGAGGTGGAGCTGTGGCTCAGGTGGTAGAATGCAAATCTTGAGCTCAAAGCTCAGGAACAGTGCCCAGGCCCTGAGTTCAAGCCTCAAGACAGGCACAAAAAAAAAGGGGGGGGAAATAAAAAAAGCTAACACTCAAAACTATCTAAAAACCACAGTACTCTGTGTGGGCAATAAAGCAGACCAAAACTCCTAGAAGCCTCAGCAAGAGCACAGAGTGTTTCTATGGGCTGTCACCTGAATATGCTCCCGTTTTGAGTACTGTGCTGTTTCTAAGACACATCCCAGTGTAGCTCTTAGATATTGAGTTGTACCTTATTAAAATATACATGGAACTTGAAGTTCTCTATTGTTAGAAAACTTTTAAATAAGTAATTTTTATTGTGATTAAGTGATTACATAAATTTCACAGTATTGTAGATAGTGGTACTTATTTAAAGTCACAAACACATTCTAACCTTCATAAGGCAAATTTTCATTATCATGGTCTATAAAGTTTGTGAATTCTATGAGCTTTGGCAATACAGCTATTTCTTCCACATCGGGTGGTATGTACATTTCTTTCCTTTTGCTTAGTGTTAGCTGTTCCCTCTATCCCTCTCATTCCCTCCTTCCCATTGCTGCCCTTGGGTTGCTTAGTTCATTTTCATGTGTCCAGTGCAGCTGATGGGCCCCTCTGTTGTATGTTTTCGCCCGTTTCCTTCTGATTCTGTGTCCTCCTCCTAGTTTCCCTCAGATGTGCATGTATACCATATATGTGGTCAACAGCTTGGGGTCATTTAGTAATGATACAAGATGAGTGAAAGTCTTTTGCTTTTTGAGTTCTGTTGAAAACTAACTTTTAAAATTAAGTTCAATGTCCATAAAAGCAAGGGTCTAAGAACCAGAGAACACAGGCCAGGCTGCAGAATACTTTACCCATGATAATGTCCTCTAGACATCCGACCACAGCATCGAATTCTGCATCAGAGGCAGAAGAGCTGAAAAATAAGCCAGGATTAGATGTTGGTTCAAATAATTATTTTAAAAAAGAAAGTTATTCCTGGCAGGAGTGAAAAGGATAGCAAAATCAGTATCTTGTCATTCATCTTCAAGAATTAGGAGGACCCTGCCTGGTTTGGTGGCTCATACCTGTAATCTTAGCTATTCAGGAAGGTTGGGGTGAGGTAGAAATTGGAAATAGGGAAAAGCTCAGAGGCCTGATTTAGCCAACAAAAATGTGGTGTGCACCGGACTCCGGTGGCTCACAGCTGTAATCCTAGCTACTCAAGAGGCTGAGATCTGAGAATCGCGGTTCAAAGCCAGCCCGGGCAGGTAAGTCTATGAAACTCTTCAATAAACCACCAGAAAAACAGAAACGGTGCTGTGGCTCAAGTGGTAGAGCGCTCACCTTGAGCTGAAGAGCTCAGGGACAGTACACAGGCCCATGGTGGACAAACAAATTAAAAAAAAAACAACCCAACAACAAAAAGTTGTGTGTGGTGCTTGTCCATCATCCCATGCCCTGGTGAAGTTTTTTGTCGGAGAATCTAGATCTATGCCAAGGTAAAAAAGACCCTATCAAAAAATAAAGAGAAGGGGTATGTGGCTCAAGTGGTTCAACCCCCAGTACCTCCCCCTTCCTGTCCCTCCAAATGAAGTCCAGGTCCTGTGGCTCAAAGCATAATCCCAGTTACTTGGGATTATGGTTTGAGGCCATCTGGTGGAAAAATGCAAGACCCTATCTGAAAAATAAAATGAAAAGGGCTGAAGGCTTGTCTCAAGTGGCAGGGGCCCTGAGTTCTATCCCTAGCATGGTCAAAGAATGAAAAAATTAAGCATTATTAGTTTGTTGTTGTTCAGGCCCAGGGCCTGGGCGCTTGCGGTCCCTGAGCTTTTAGTGCCCAAAGCTGGCACTCTACCACTTAAACACGCCTCCACTTCGGGCTCTTTTAGTGCTTAATTGGAGTTAAGAGTCTCCAGGACTTTCCTTTCCTTGCCGGGGCTGGCTTCGAATCACGATCCTTAGTAGCTAGATCGCAGGCGTGAGCCTAGGGCACATGCTTATTTCTGATCTAAAATTTCAAACAGAAGGAAAACACCCGTGACCTACCGCCTCTTTCATAAAACTTAACATCACAGACCACTGAAAGGGAGCGGAGGATGGCTTGGCCATCTCCAGGCGGCAGATCTCTTATCCCCTGGGGGTCTACTCACCGCATTTTAGCGATCGCACCACACCTGGCGCGGGGAAACTGGATGGGAGAGTGCTCGGGTCGGAGGTCGTTGGGGGACAGGTGCGGGGGGAGGGGGTGGGGAGGACAAGCGTGTTGGGGGGAGGGGATGGGTCCCCGGACTGCGGGCCGCGCCTCGCCGCTCAAGGGCGCCGGGCCGGCCTGGGATTGTGATGGAGGGGTGACAAAGCCCCACGCCCTCGGAGGACAGGCCCAGGCCCGCGGCGCATCCTCCAGCCACGGTCACTCACAAGGACAGCGCGATGCTCTCTTCCTCCAGGGCGTCCATCGCCGCGGCGCAGCATCCACCCGCAAGGGTGAGCGGGCCCGCCGCCGCCGCCTCTACTCCGCCCGCCGCCCCGGCCCGGCCTCCGTTAAGCTCCGCGGAGCCCCTATTCTCATGGAGGGAGGGCGCGGCGGGCCCGAGGAGGCCTCACTGCCCAGCCGCGGGCCCGCTCACGGCGCAGCTGGGTCAGGGATCACCAGCAGGGCCGAGCCTCGGGTCCCGGGCTGCAGCCCAGCGCCGGCGGGGCTTCCACGCGCGGCCACACCGCTCTACTCGCGCGGCGCGCAGCCACAGTCGCCCAGCTGGTCTGACTGTCCGTTACCAACCGCCGCACGCCGTGCCCCGCCTCCCGTTACCATGGCTACCGCCTTCTGGGGTCTCAACAGCCAATCACAGACGCCTTTTGCCGCCGCCAGGGGCGGGGCAAAACGGGGAGAGGAAGTCCGGGAAAGAGAACGTCGTGGAGTGATGCTGGTCCTTGTCAATCATTCAGTGAAGCCTGGAGAGTTTCACGGGCTGTGTAGTGGCCGAACTTCACCTGGTCCGTATATTATGGACGAAGAAATCGAAGCCAAGATCCTCAGTTTCCTCACTTGGGAGTTGGGTGTGTTTTTCAAAGAGCCTTTTAAAGAACGCCGTAAATTGTTAAATCGTTTGAGCCAGACTTTGATCTTGCAGATTTGTAAGTTACTTCCTCCTTAGGGGAAGATGGAAAAAAGGCTCTACTGCTTATGGTGGAATTCTTGCAAGTTGCATGATAATCTTTGCATTATAGATTATTAGGCTTATTATGGATCTAATTAATTATGCAAGTCAGAAATTGAGAGCACTACTTTGAGCCAGTCAATCAGAAACTGAACTGTTCCAGAAGTTTCATCCAGAATGTTAAATCTTTTTTTTTTTTGTCGGTCGTGGGGCCTGAACTCCAGGCCTGGGCGCTGTCCTTCAGCTCTTCAGCTCAAGGCTAGTGCTCTACCACTTGAGCCACAGCACCACTTCCAGCGTTTTCTGCTTATGTGGTGCTGAGGAATGGAACCGAGGGCCTCATGCATGCAAGGCACTCTACCACTGAGCCACCTTCCCAGCACACTCTCTCTCTTATACACACACACGGTTTGCTGAATTACCAGTATTCCTCCATCAGGTACTTTCTGGTCTCGAAAAGAACTTACCTACTAAGTCATGAGGTCAGAGTGGAGAAGGAATGAAACAATGAATAACTTCATCTGTTTTGATTGCTGTTACAAACCACACAACCTACTGGCCTGAAACAATTATGTTCTCATTGTTACAGCTTGCGCAGGGCTCATCATGAAGCCAGAAACTCCTTCAGAGGAGCTCACTCACCTGGCCAGCAAATTAGTGTTGGCTGTTGCTAAGAGATCAGCTGTGGATGTGTATATTTAACCTGAGTTCCTCTGTATAGAGGTCTTTCTGGGAATATTTGGGTTTTCTTACATCATGGTGACTGGGCAAAAAGCAAGCATTTCACGGACTGTCAGTCACTTAAGGGCCTGGAATTGGAAATGGACAGAGTCATTCATATGTTGTTAGTAAAGCATAAAGAATACATAGAATCAGCCGGGCGCCGGTGGCTCACCCCTGTAATCTTAGCTACTCAGGAGGCTGAGATCTGAGGATTGCGGTTCAAAGCCAGCCTGGGCAGGAGAGACCATGAGACTCCTATCTCCAATAAACCACCAGAAAACCGGAAATGGCACTGTAGCTCAAGTGGTAGAGCGCTCGCCTTGAGCTGAAGAGCTGAGGGACAGCACCCAGGCCCAGAGTTCAAGCCCCACAACCGCCAAAAACAAAAAACAAAACATAGAATCTATCCAGATTTAAAGGTCATAAACCTTAAACAAAAAAGGGGGGGGGAGAGAAGGGGATATTAGGGATTGATGCAGAGATTCATGTTTGCTAGGTAAATCTCTACCACTGAAGTACACTCCAAATGCTATGAACCTCATTTCTTCTTTCTTCACTGTTTTCTTTTTGCTCTGGTTTTTTTTTTTTTTTTTCTTTTTTTTACAGTCTTACTTTTCTATCAGCCTGGACTGTGATCCTGCTTATTCTTCCCCAACATACCTGGGATGACAGGCACATGCCATCATACTCAGCTATTTCTGTTGAGATGGAGGCTTAAGAACTTTTTTTTTTGCTTAGGCCTGCCTCAAATGAAGATCCTCCCCTTCTTCCCCGAGCAGTTAGGACTTACAGGTGTAAGCCACTGGTGCCTAGCCTTAAACCTCATTTTCTTGAAGGTCTTGCTGACACCCAGGGTGACCTCAAATTGGTGACTCTCTGGAATTATATGTGTGAACAATCACACCAGGCTTTAAACCTCATTTGCTGGGAAGAATACCAAGGAATTTGCAGCAATCTTTTAATCTATTTTGCCATGTTTGGCTCTAGGAAGAAAGGATAAAGATAACAGGTACCTGCTTACTTAGGCATTTACTAGGTACTATATTAAACATTTATAGTTTCCTTTAGAAGTGCTTTGAGGAAAGGGCCAAAACTACACCCTGGTTAAAAGAATATTACCTCTATTTAACAGATGAAGGCCTGGTGAGCACTGGGTAAGTTCTACTGCAAAGGATCATTAATCATACTATATTGCTCTCAATGCCTGTTATTAAACATACTCTTAGAACATGAGGTTTTTCTGCTGGAAACAGAATACTGGCTCCCCCCCAATAAAGTTCAAATTGAACATATCTAAATGATGCTTTTCCATTAATAAAATTTAAAAGCCTTTGTGGATTAGCATTAAGAATAGTTGTAAGTGATGTTTTCATGGATACGCCATGAAGATGGCTGAAACACAGGCCAAAGTTTCTGCATCTAAGACTGAATCACTGTTTCCTGGCACTCTGCAAATGACACAATTTTCTCCTGCTTTATTTACTAACAACAACAACACCCCAGCACTTCATTTTTTCCCCTCCTGAAACCTTAATTTTCTCTGAGTTACTTGGGAAGTGTTATTACTTAATCTGCCCCTTCCAGCCTGTAGCAACATAACAAGAATAAAAGATTCCTGTTTAATTTCTCTTAAATGGTTTCCTGCAGCACAGGATCTTGTCCTAGTTTGCCAATCCCTTCCCTTCTCCTCTGTGGAGTACACAAACCTCTTTCCTTTGTAATTCAAAGGTTACACTTTGATTCCTTCATGAGTGGTTAAATCACTTTTAATATTTTAGCCTTTTGCTTCTGTGGTCTATAAGTTAGGAACTGAAAACCAGACCATTTTAGGGCCAAGGCCTGACATAAATGTATGGAACACTGATAGGTTCCTGTGTTCCTTCGATTCCTCACAGATTAACAGTTAATTTCATCTCTTTTCTCTCAAGAGTTTTCATACAGCCTTCAGTTGGACTATTTCAGCTTCCTTACTGGTCCCACCTCTTCTATTTTGTGCTTCTGTAACCCCAACCCATTCTTCCATCCCATTCTCCAAATACAAGCTAGAGCCATCTGAAATTATCAGATTACTTCCATACTCAGAGTCCTTTTTTTTCCTACTGAATTTAGGACAAAATAGAAAACCCTTCACAAGCTTCCAATACTAGCACATACTATTTTTTCTTGTTTCTCAACAGAGACAGGACCTTCCACCATATCCCAGCCTTGAGCTCTTTAGTGAGGACCTGAGCTTATAACGCAGTGCTTATCTAGTTACCCGGTCCTCAGCCCCTCTGCCTGGCTGTAGCCTTTTTCCTCCTCCTGACAACCTCCTACATCCAGCTAAACATACAAATAGGTCAGCCTTCTTCCTTAGAACTATATTCTCAGTTGGGCGCCTGTGGCTCACACCTGTAATCGTAGCTACTCAGGAGGCTCAGAGGTGAGGACTGCAGTTCAAAGTCAGACCAGGCAGAAAGGTCCCTGTGAGACTCTTATCATTAACCACTTAATACCTAGAAGTAGAGCTGTGGCTTAAAGTGGTAGAGAGCTAACCTCGAGCATAAAAGAGCTCAGGGACAGCACCCAGGCTCCGACTTCAAGCCTCAGGACCAAAACCAAACCAAACCAACAAAAAAATAACTATTTTTTCTTCAGGGCACTAACAAATTATCAGAGCAAAAACAAAAACAAAAAACCAACAACAACAAAAAACCACACTCCCCCTTCCCCACAAACTCCACAAACACAAGTACTGTACAACAGGCAGGGCCCAGGGTAGATTAGGAGCTCCGTGGGGACCTGCTCAATAAAGAAAGTAATCAAACTTCTTCGGTGTGTGTGTATACACGGTGGTGGTGGTGAACCTAGGGCCTTAAATATGCTGGGGAAGTGCTCTACCCCTGTGCCCTTTACTATTCTTACATGAGTCTCTCCTACTCAGAAGAGTAGGGACTTCAGCAGAAGGCAGCAATGAAAGCTATGGAAACCTTAGTTACAAAAGGCAACAGATGTTTTATTCTTCAATGCAAATTACTGTATTCACCACAAGCTAAAGAGAACATATATCTCTATAGATGTATATTTATATATATATATTTTTTTGCATTTATGGAAGACTAGAGACATGGAAAAAAATCCAGCACCCCAACAAGTACAGCCAGGAAGGAAATCTCTGTAATGGACAGATTTAATGAACTATAAACAAGAAAGGGTGGGAAAGGAGGAAAAAATGTGCATTGAGTTTAAGACGCTGTAAAACTCAGAAGACATATTTACTGTTCAAGTATAAACTCAGTAAGGACTTGGCGTAAATTGAAAGGCAGCTGCTGAGGTACACCATTATAAAGTAAGCTCTATGAATTTACAGTTCTACCTTCCAATTTTCTGGGAGAAAAAAAAAATCGAACTCTTGAAGGTCTTCACCAGAGACCCTGAGAGGGATAAACACTTTTGATGAAGACAGTCAACAATCCATGATTGAATTACTATTCAAAAACATGTATTTATTTAAAACAACAGAAATAAGTGTTCTCAGACTGTCCTTTAGAGTTTTTGAGACTACTGGTTCAAGAGTTTCAAAGTGTATTACTTCCCAAAACAATACTGATTAAAAAAATTTTTAAACAAAAAAACCAAACAACAACAAAAAAACCTGATTTGAATGGTACCTTAAAAATACCCTAAATACCAAATTTTCTCCAGTCTAACATTACAGTTGATTTAAGAATTCCTTCTGCATTGGTAAAACATTTTTTTTCCTCATAAAATATGGGTACGGAGATTGGATAGAAACACCATGAATGTGAAAATACCACCAATTTTCTGCAGTTAAAAAAAACTAGAATGTTCTTTGGAATCACTGAAGTATAAAAAAATTTGGGTTTTTTTTCTACAGTTTTTTTTCTACACCTTCCTTCAGGTTCTCCATGTTGCTGTGGTGATGACCTGTGGAATTTTACTTTTACAGACTCAGGTCTGCCATGCAACATCCGTGCCAAATGACCTGTACACCTGACAGGTGATGTTGACCCCAAGAAACACTGTCACTCACGTCTCTAAAAGGACTCCTCCCCCAAATAAAAACTTCAGATTGTGACACAAAGCATCCCCTGTTAAACAATCAAATGAACCCAACATGGAGAGTTCTGGTGGTTTCCGCACTCAGAGGGCATTGTCACTTATTGATTTTCATGGAAGTACCACAGGCCTGGCTGCTGGCGTTCAGCTTTCCTTGGCCTTAAAAGGAATTCAGGGCTGGCAAGTTGGATTAGATTCTAAGAGAATTTTGTCTTTGAGAAACTACCATTTTTAGCATAAAATCTGGCCATGGCTATAAGTTTCAATGTGCGTACAACTGATTCGAGATGGATTTTTTTTCTTTTTCTTTTTGACATTGGCTGGAATTGAGTAGAAATGAGTCCATGACGCCTCTTCACATGTGTCATGAAATATGAGAAATCTGTCTGACTCTAGACACTATTTCTTTACGACACAATGGGCAGGTCTCCAGTTGCAAGGCACAATCCATGCACAGGTCGCTAGGGAGAAAGACATAAAAAAAGTCAAGTTAATGCTTCAAAAGGTCAGACTCTACCTGCCAACTAAATCTAAACTGTTAATAAGTTAGGTGAAAGGGTAATATTTATAGATGGCTTAAAAAATAAAATGAAGCCAGGTGCTAGTGGTTCATACCTGTAACCCTAACTACTCAGGAGGCTGAGATATGAGGATTGAAGTCTGAAGCCAGCCCAGGCAGGGAAGTTTGTTGAGACTATTAAAACGACTGCTGGAAGTAGAAGTGTGGCCAATATGGTAGAGTGCTAGCCTTGAGTAAGAAAGCTAAGGACAGCACCCAGCTCTGAGTTCAAGCCCTAGAGAGTCTTGCTTGGATTCTTTCTTGCAGATGGGAAGGTTAATTACTGTGCTGATCTTCTCAAATGTTAATTGCTGTGCTAACCTTTTCAAGTGTATTTTAAACTGGGATTTCCTTCTATCTATATTTGTATTATAATATTCCATATGTCAAGAATGGGTATTGGCCAGGCACTGGTGGCTCATACCTGTAATCCTAGCTACTCAGGAGGCTGAGAGCTGAGGATCATAGTTTGAAGCTAGCCCAGGCAGGAAAGTCCATGAGACTCTTCTCTCCAATTAACCACCAGAAAACTGGAAGTGGTGCTGTGTCTCAAAGCTCAGGGACAGTGCCCAAGTCCCACAGCCGGGTTGGGGGGTGGGAAGGAATGGGTATTGACCAGGAAGTAGAAACATGTCTTTTTTGGGAGGGGGAAAAAGAGGACACACAAATGGAGGAAGGGTGAGCATATGCAGTCATTGTATGTATGTACATTATGTAAAAATTGAACTCTATAACTTGAGGCAGGGATAGGAAGAGGAAAGTGAGGGAAAACAATGGAAGGGGTGACACTGATCAAGACTCATTGTACTTATAACCTGACTTACAGAATTGTAACCTCCTTGTATGACTACTTGGTATTAATAATTAAAAAGAATTGATATTGAGCTGGGCACTGGCAGCTAACACCTGTTGATCTTGCTACTCTAGAGGCTAAGACCTGGAGAATCTCAGTTCAAAGCCAGCCTGGGCAAAAAAGTCTGTCAATTAACCAGCGGAAAGACAGACTAGAGATGTAGCTCAAGTGGTAGAGCCTTAGCTATAAACAAGAAAGCCCAGTGAGAGCTTAAGGCCCCAGAGTTCAAGCCATGGTACCCTCCCCTGGCAAAAATAGAATGGACAGTGAATTTTCTTGGTTAAAGTAATAACACCCTCTCAACAGCTATATTTGAGTAAATTATATTAGTAGATTTACATTTTGCCATTTTTGCATCCATTTGCTTTGCTTTTTTCTATTTGGTGGTGATGTAGAGGACCAAATCCCAGATTCTATTCATGCTAGGACTAGGCTGTACTACTGAGCTACATCCCCAGCCTACCTGTGAATATTTCATTTGCATTTTTTATATTTTTAGATTTATAATCGCAAGCAAAAAACTTTTCTTTTTTTTTGGGCTGGCTCAGGGGCTTGAACTCTGTGATATCCCTAAGCAAATTTTGCTTAAGGGTAGTGCTCTCTACCACTTGAGCCATAGCTCCATTTCTGACTTTTTCTGTCATTAATTGAAGAATCTCACAGATTTTTCTGCTTGGGCTGGGTTCAAACTATGATCCTCAGCTCTCAGATATCAGCCTCCTGAGTAGTTAGGATTATAGGCTTGAGCCACTGGTACCTGGCAGTTTTCTGTGTGTGTGTGTGTGCATGTGTGTGTGTGTGTGTGTGTGTGTGTGCGCACGTGCGTGTGTTTTATCAGTTTTTGATATGATTAACATGCAGTCTTTGTAAAAATAATATTGTGGGTTTCTATTTTTTATCTGTGGTCTATTGAAGTTTAGCTGGAATTTGACCTCTTCCCTGAAAATTATGAAGAATTCACCTGTGAAACCATCTGGGCTAGGTGCTTTGGAAGGGAATGCAAAGGCAATCTCTTCTGTAGTACTAGGAATGCTCTAAATTTCAGTTTATTCTAGTAGTCCAGTTCTAGTAATTCAGATTTCCTTTCTTTATTGTCAACCTTTAAAGATTGTTGCTAACTCAAGTTAGGCTAAATTTTCTCATCATTCTCTTAATTTCCTGTTGCATTCCTGTTTTGAATATGCCTATTATAGAAACTATGATCACATTTAAGATAAGTGGTCCTGTTTTCACTTTATACAGTAGCACTTTTGAATGCCAAATCATAGGGAAGGACCAGAGGGCTCTCAGATGAATACCAGGATCCTGTTGTTTAGGATCTTAACACTCTTACAGAAATAAAAATAGAAAAGAGTATCAATATCAGCATTCAAGATGCTGAGGTATTCAAAGCTAGCCTGGGCTATAAGACCCTATCTTAAAAAAGTAAAAATCCAAAAAAAAAAAAAAGGTACAAAGACAAAAAAAAAAAGTAAAAATCCAACCTTTAAACTCTGTAAGGCCCCAATAACTAATACCTGCCTGCAAAGGCAATCATTTGGACATTCTGGGCTTTGAAGAGAAACTGGTGTAACTATGGGTGAAATGAAACAGCCAGCCAGATAGCAACCCATCTCAGAAGATAAGTATACAGAAGCTGAGTCAGGAGTCAGGCTGGCTCATTCATGGGGATGATAAACTAAGGTTTATATTCCAGGTTCTGGACTGCAGGAGATCAGGTGGTCTAAGCTTTGTGAATAGCATGAGAAAGACAACGTATGGGATGTGATGAATTACAAGCAGCTGGCTATAACACTAGCATGAGTGCTGCTCACTTAGACTGGCCAGGGAAGCTCTACACCTCTTACTCTTTGTAATCTTGGTTGGAATGGCTTTCTTCGGGACCAGATTATTTGGTGCTCTGGCCAATGCTTAGATACTATGTCCTGAAAGATCTAAGCTGTCTGCTAAGTTCATCCCCTATAGCTGATTTTTTTTTTTTTTTTTTGTAGGTCATGGGGCTTGAACTTGGCTTGGGTGCTGTCCCTGTGCTCTTCAGCTCAAGGTAGTGCTCTACTGCTTGAGCCACAGCATCACTTCCAGTTTTCTAGTAGTTTATTGGAGATAAGAGTCTCACGGACTTTCCTGCCTGGGCTGGCTTTGAACCGCCATCCTCAGATCTCAGCCTCATGAGTAGCTAGGATTATAGGCATGAGCCACCAGCACCCAGCTTACAGCTGAAATTTAAGATGGCAGGGAGGGTGTTAGCCTTCTCAATTGTCCAAGCTGGCTTTGAACTGCCATCCTCAGATTTCAGCCTCCTGTGTAGCTAAGATTACAGGTAAGAGCTACTGGTACCTGGCTGTAACCCACTTTTTATTTTCTTTCCCCTCCATAGCCTTTTTTCTATTTTAAAAATTAATTCATGCATTTAGGAAAAATTCTTCAGGGGCTGGGAAGGTGGCTCAGTGGTAGAGCACTTGCCTTGCATGTGTAAGGCCCTGGGTTCAATTCCTCAACACCACATAGGCAAAAAGAAAAAAGCCGGAAGTGGCGCTGTGGCTCAAGTGGTAGAGCACTAGCCTTGAGCTGAAGAGCTGAGGGACAGCGCCCAGGCCCAGAGTTCAGGCCCCACAACCGGCCCAAAAAAAAAATTCTTCAGTGTGTAATCCACTTTTGATATAAAATTCCTGCTTAATGGCTAGGGAGTTGGCAGTACCCTAAAAGTGAGTCAAGAGAGGAGTAAAATGTTGCCTCTGCAATGTACAAACCTGTGTCCACATGGCTTCAGCTGTGTGTCTGCTACTTCATCACAACAAAGGGAGCAGCAGTTCTCACGGATGCTGACTTGTTTCAACAGAGCCAGACGCCTGTGCCTGCATAGACAAAGCAGTTTAAAATTCATTCTCCTAGCAGGAAAAGGGGTTTCTTGTTAATTGCGATGCATATAAAACACCTTGAGTAATGGCCTACCTATGAGAGATATATTAAGGCTTCCTTCTGCTTTGTTCAGTAAAGTTTTCAAACATAATACCTCATACTTTACTCTCAGGAGGCAGTGAAGGAGACTTGGACATTCTCATTTTACAGACAAATTAAAGTTCAAGGGAATGATTTACCCAAGATCACAGTTACTAAAGTCAGAAATCAAATTAAAATCCTTTGATTCTAAGTCCAGTGCTCTTTTTACTTTTTTTTTTTTGTTGTTATTGTTGGTCATGGGGCTTGAACTCTGGGCCTGGGTGCTGTTCCTCAGCTCTTCATTTCAAGGCAAGCGCTCTACCACTTGAGCCACAATACTACTCCTGTTTTCTGGTGGTTTATTGGAGATAAGAGCCTCAAGGACTTTCTTGACCAGGCTGGCTTTGAACTGTGATCCTCAGATCTCAGCCTCCTTGGTAGCTAGGATGACGGGCGTGAGCCATCAGTGCCCAGATTCTTTTTACTTAAAAAAAAAACCTGAACTATATTGGTCTATTCACTTCATACAGAGATGTGTTTGTAAACATATTTTCAGAGTTCAGAGATGTTGAAATAATAAAATTCCATTGCAGAAAAACCCAAACTAGGGCTGGGAAGGTGGCTCAGTGGTAGAACACTTACCTTGCATGCATGAGGCCCTGGGTTCTCAGCACCACATAAGCAAAAAGAAAAAAGCCAGAAGTGGTGCTGTGGTTCAAGTGGTAGAGTGCTAGCCTTGAGCTAAAGAGCTGAGGGACAGCACCCAGGCCCAAGAGTTGAGGCCCCACGACCGGACCCCCCTCCCCCCCAAAAAAAACACCAAAACTATTAAAAACCAGTTTTATTTTTTTGTTTTTGTTTTTTTTTTCCTAGGCAGGTCTCAGTATGTACTCTAGATCAGATTGGAATTCACTATGTAAACCAGGCTGGAGGAGAAAAAGCTCAGGGACAAAGCCCAGGCCCTGAATTCAAGCCCTAGGATTGGCAAAAAAAGAAAACAACAACAACAAAATGGGTATCAATCTAACTAAGGAAGAGAAAGACTTCTACAATGAAAAATACAAGACTTTGAAGAAAGAAATTAAAAAAGGTATCAGTAGATGGGAAGACATCCCATATCATGAATTGGCAGAATATTTGAAAATGGCTATATTGATAAAAGTAACATACAAATTCAATGGAATATCTACAAAAACCTCATTAGGGAGGTTTGGGGGGGGAGAAGAGGAACAGACGTTATGGGGACTAGTTGGATGGTGGGTGGGCTGGAGGGGAGAACAATGGTGGTTAAATACTGTGGAAATAATTTGCAACTTTGAACATGAATCAGCGAAACTGGTTGGGGATGCTATTTTTTAGGAGGAGGCGAGCAAGGAGTATGATAGAGGGGGTGACATTGGTTGGAATACAGTATAAATGTGTGGAGCTATAGCAATGAAACCTCTTCTCATTTAACTATTACAAGCCAATTTGAAAAAAAAAACTTTCTTTCTAGATTCTTCAACACCAAATAACAGCAATGCCATTACATACATATTTGGTCTTAATCAAATTCTAGAAATCCTTATGAAACCACTTCGTACTTTAGGGAAATATGGGTCTTAATTATTTTCCCAATAATTTCATATTAATAACTGGTTCATATATATTTTTTTTCCTGATATGTTTCAGTTAATTTATATTTCCAAGAAAGTCAGCATGTTTAGTGAGGGTTTCAAAATTTCTTAATAAAAGTTGAAAAAACGTCTCTCATAAATGGCTTAATTTATCATAAGTATATGTAACAATCAGGAGACAGCCTTGGTACATTTCTCACCTTGGCAAAATTATTTTTTCTTCAGCTGTTAGGAAGGCATAGTCATTAAAAGTGCTGAATTTCATAGATGGAGGGTACTTGAATGGTTTTGCTCCAAAATTGAACTCACATTGTTGATATGACATGAAACTAGCTGCAGCGAAAAATCCAGATCTATAAATAAAAATGAATATGGGGTCAACAGAATTCATAAAGCCAAAGTAAATCCTCACATATATTGGTTTTCAGAGTCAAGGTGAACCAGTCACATGCTGGCAGAGAGAAAGGAGAACAGTTGCTATGTATTAAGCTAAATAAGCCTGTAAGCCCGAGAATACTACACCTTTATCTTTTATGTCAAATAGGTTTAGGTCTTACTATAGGCATTCCTAAATAAATCAAATAAAAATCATTTTCTCATTATGATTGTTTACATAAAATAAAGTTTTTCTCCTGGAGAAAAGTATATTCCATGCATCTACTTGAATTTCTGAGACAAGCTACTTACACAGTAGATGAAAAGACTTGCTTCTCAGGAGGCAGCTGGTTGCCATTTAAAAAGAAGATCATTTGCTTTTCATTCAAGTCTAACAGAAACCCGACTGTGTCTCCTAGCAGACAAAACAAAATGCTGTTAAGGATAGTGCTGTGTATTATCAAGATTCAATTTTTTTTTTTGGTACATTGTGGGTTTGAACTCAGGGCCCAGATACTGTCCCTGAACTCTTCTGCTCAAGGCTATTGCTTTACCACTTTAAGCCACACCCAGCTCCTTTTTTTTTGAGTGGTTAATTGGGGATAATGGTTAATTGGGGATAAGAGTCTCATTGAGGACTGTCTTGCCCAGGCTGGCTTTGAACTGTGATCCTTAGATCTCAGCCTCAGGATTACAGGTGTGAGCTACCATAACCAGCTAATAAACAACTTTTTTGTTGTTGTTGATTGTAGCGCTTGAACTCAGGGCCTGAGTGCTGTCCCTGAGTTTGTGCTTAAGGCAAGCGTTCTACCACTTGAGCTACAGTGCCACTTCCCAAGATTCTCTTAAGTGCTTGAATGTCACTGTTCAACGTTAACCACAAACTCTACATGCTCATCCTTTTTTTTTTTGCCAGTCCTGGGGCTTGAACTCAGGGCCTGAGCACTGTCCCTGAGCTTCTTTGCTCAAGGCTAGCACTCTACCACTTGAGCCATAGCACCACTTCTGTTTTTTTCTGTTTATGTGGTACTGAGGAATTGAACCCAGTGCTTCATGCATGCTAGGCCAGCACTCTACTACTAAGCCACATTCCCAGCCATGTTCATCCTTTTTTCTTTTGCAACTGATCTGACCTCCACATACCAATGTTTTCATAAGCAATTAAGATACTGCCAGTTAAACTCTGACAATGTAGGATGCACAATTTCAAGGATGTTAAAATGTGGAAAAAACTGCATTATGTGAGCAATGAGATATCGATGAAATCATGATTTATTTGCCTCTCTGGTAAGATGTGAAACTCCCTAGATAACATCTACCCAAAAATATGCTAAAGAGAAAAATGTTAAGGCCTAGGGTGATAAATGCGCCATTATACCCAACTGATAAACTCATGATGGAGAATTCTGAATGAATACCTTCTTTCCAGCATGGGTGTGCATGAGGCTTACTTCTGGCATTGTACCAAATCAGCTGCCGGCAGCCATCATACGCACAGGAGTATTCATCATCCCCAATGCCATACCCTTCCTGGAGAGAGACAAGGCCCAGAGGATGAGCAAGGTTCTGCCTGCTCTGACCTGGGAAGAGAGTGTATCATATATAACTATTAACCTAGTGGCCGGACTTTAAACTTTTTGGATAAAGGAAAAGCCTTATGGTTCCTAGTAAATAGATTACAGCTTTATACACTGTATTGCTAAGTATCTCCTTTGTCTTAGGCATTTTCACATTTTTATTTCTCACTAAGCACCATAAGGCTGGTGGCTTACACCAAGGTGGAAGAGGTAACCCAGGCACAGAGAGGTCCATCAACTTCACCTACAGACATGTTACATGAGAAGCAGAGTCAGGTGTGGACTTAAAAGTCTTGATGCCAACATCACTACTCTTTCTACCTCACTGTGGCCAGGCAAACACTTTCCTGCAAGTAGATTAAAAATATTCAAATGCTTAGAGATTTTGAGACAGGTTAAAATGGACCTCCTTTTAGAGGTTCCACCAGCTAAAAGCTACTTTAAGAGTAGCCCAAGTTGAGTGTCATACAAGTCCTTGATAATTTTTCTTTAATTACACATTGCCTTTCAATTATCTCCTAGAATTATTAACACAGATATATAAATAGGACCCTAATGAATTACTTTCAGTGCTTACAAAAAATAAGAATGTTCTGATATTTTGCTTATTCTATGGCCTAAACAATGAAGCCAGCCCCTTGTGGAAATATAAACCACCCCCTGTCTGTATAGTCAAAAGCATTCAGAAAAGCCAGAACAATGTCCACTTGAAACAAAGTTGTAAGTATGGGGAAAAAAAATCAATAAAATCCTGTTTGGGAAAAGGCAGATTTCATCAGTTTATAATAGGGACTCAATTAGTACTTGGATTAGAGAAATGCATTTGTTTGTTTTTAAAGAAAGAAATCATCACAATATGAAGGGTAAGAAAAATTCCTGCAATGGTATTCACTGGACACTATGTTGAAAATGAACTATATATAACTGGTGGGTGGGGATGGGAGGGAAAACCTGGGAGAGAGCAAGGGAAGGGGTGACATTGTTCAAAAAGAAATGCACTCTTTACCTGACTTCTGTACTGTAACCCCTCTGTACATCACCTTTATAATAAGAATAAAAAAAATTAAAAAAATATCTAAGAGTAAGAAAGGAATCCAGAACACCGGTGGAGTGAGTAATTGTCAAGTGCAGGGGGAATACCTAACTCCAGTGGTTACAAAAGTAAATGATTTTGTATGTGGGGTTAAAAAGCAGAATATGAGACATCAGGGCTGCTCTTGGTCAAAAATACATTAGTAAACATCACTAAGCAGTTTCACTTACTCAAGCAATGGTCATGGGCTTGATCTTTAAATAGAACTAAAAGTGCTACCGAGGCCCATAGTTTAATAGTTGGACTAAAGGCAAATTTATAAACTAATGATGTGATCTGAGTCTAACTTGCATCTTAAATACTAATATAACATTTACAGGTCAAGAGGGTTACTTACAGAGTATTTTATTTTCTTTATCGAATCAATAAACAGAAACTGGAAATAAAAAGATAAATTAAGAAAAAAAGAAACGCTCTTAACTTGAATCAAACATCTGCAACTATATGGCAGAAATCAGTCTCACCCAGCAGATGGAATGATTCAGCTTCACTGGCCATTAAAAACTATGTGTATAGAGGAAGCAAAGGAAGGGATGATATTGTCCAAAAAAGAAATGTAATAATCACCTGACTCATGAAATGGTAACCCCTCTATACAAGACCTTAATAATATCAAATTATATTAAAAATAAGTCCAGGGGCTGGGAAGTAGGCTCAGTGGTAGAATGCTTGTCTTGCATGCATGAGGCCCTGGGTTTGATTCCTCAGCACCACATAAGCAAAAAGAAAAAAGTCGGAAGTGGCGCTGTGGCTCAAGTGGTAGAGTGCTAGCCTTGAGCTGAAGAGCTAGGGGACAGCACCCAGGCCCAGAGTTCAGGCCCCATGACCGGACACCCCACCCCCCCAAAAAAAATAAGTCCAAAAGATAAAACTCTATTATGTGTAAGATTCATTGTCAGATGCCCTATGCCTAGAATTGTGCCTAGATTTCATATAGAAGCTGCCTTCATAGAAGAATCCATACTTGCTCTAGCTCTAGGATAACTTTTCAGTGCCAAATGTCTCACATTCTCCTCATGTTTGGGGGTTCAAAAAGGGCTTTGTGGGGAGGGAGGTTTTTTTGTTTTGTTTTTTTTTTTTTCTTTTTTTGGTTGTGGGGCCTGAACTCTGGGTCTGGGCCCTGTCCCTGAGCTCTTCAGCTCAAGGATAGTGCTCTACCACTTGAGCCACAGCACTACTTCTAGTTTTCTGGTGGGTATTTAGAGATAAGAGTTTCATGGACTTTCCTGTCTAGGCAGGCTGTGAACTGCAATCCTTAGATCTCAGCCTCCTTGGTAGCTAGGATTACAGGCAAGAGCCACTGGTGTCCATGCTGGGTGGGAATTTTTGAGACAGGGTTTCACAATGTAGCCAAAGCTGTCCTCAGGCTTGTGATCCTCCTGCCTCAGGGTCCTATATGCTAGATGATAGGTATGTGCCACCAAGCTTGGTGGATTCTCCCCATATTTTGAGTACAAAGTAAATGATTGCTATGGACTTTGAATGGAACTGAATTCTAGTCCTATTTTCTTTTCTTGTCTCAGTTTTCTCATCCGTAAAATGGAAATTGTAATATTGCACATGAGCATCAGTATGAATTCAGCACAAGATTTTTTTTTTTTTGGTGCTGGTACTGGTTTGGGGCTGAACTCAGGGCCTCTCATGCTCTTGTTTAGCATTTTATTCAAGGCTAGCTCTCTACCACTCAAGCTACAACTCTAATTTGGAGCTTTTTGCTAGTTAATTTGAGAAAAGAGTCTCTTGGTCTGCTGCTTGGGTTGGCTTCACATCTCAAACCTCAGATTCCAGCCTCCTGAACAGCTATGATTATAGGCATGAGCATCAGCTCCTGGAAATATGCATTTTTTAAAATTTACAAATAATGATCTTTTGGGCTGGGAAGGTGGCTCAGTGGTAGAATGCTTGTCTTGCATGCATGAGGCCCTGGGTTCAATTCCTCAGCACCACATAAGCAAAAAGAAAAAAGCCGGAAATGGCACTGTGGCTCAAGTGGTAGAGAGCTAGCCTTGCTTGAGCTGAAGAGCTGAAGGACGCGTTCAGGCCCAGAGTTCAGGTCCCACAACCAACCCCCCCCCAAAAAAAAGACCCTTTTAAAGGGGTAACGATGATCAACAAGTAATGCCTTACTCATGTAAGTAACTGTAACCCCCCTGTATAGCATCTTTATAATAACATTTGTAAAAATGACCTTTTAAAAGTCTTAAAAAATAAATCACCTCTAGGGACTTTATTTGGAGTAGGCAGTCAGTATAATTGGTAAACTAGTGCTGATGTTAGAAAACAGACACTGGAATTTTTCTTCAGACCAAGTTTCTTTTGACCCTTTGGAGGCTCAAAAAAGGCACAGACTTTCAAATGTCAGTGTATGGCCTAGAAAGAGGGAGGGGAGCACTTTTGATGGGGAGTCCCAGCAGAAGAAATGGAAGACTGTGCTTTACTTTTCTACTTTTACCAGAGTTCAGACTTGACTTGTACATTACCCCTTTTATTCCAATATTTTTCTTTGTCTAGGAATTTTAGTAAAATGCCATGAACAATTTCAAGGTATAATAAAGGGCCCTTAAATATATTAATATTTATTATGTACAATATATTTAATATATATATTCCCCTACCCTCCCACCCTGCCCCAGTACTGGGGCTTGAACTCAGGGCCTGAGTGTCATCCTTGAGCTTCTTTGCTCAGTGTTAGTGCTCTACTACTTGAGTCACAGTGCCATTTCTAGCTTTTTCTGAGTAGTTTACTAGAGATAGAAGTTTCAAGGACTTTTCTGCTATGGCTGGCTTCGAACCATGATCCTCAGATCTCAGCCAGCCTCCTGAGTAGCTAGGATTAAGGTGTGAGCTACTGGTGCCCAGCTTTAAAATATATTCTTATGGCTGGCAAGTTTAGAATGCTCTTATTGGATCATTTCTATAGCCAATCTCTGGATCTTACTTATGGACTGGAGTATTATTTAGATTAATAAAACAATCAGGGTCTTTTCCTATCTCAAGGGATGAAAGTCATACGAATGCAAAATACTTCGTAGAAACTGATTTAATTTTAAGTAGCTTACAATTTGGCCAAAAGAATAGTCAATTGGGCTGGGCTTTGGAAGACTATAACTTGGCCAAAAAAAACATGTATCTGCAGGATAGGGAGGAACTCTAGTGCTCCCCGGTTCAGTATTAGCCTAGGACTGTGTAGTCTAATGGATTTATTAATCTTCCCTTTTATATCACTGCTTTCTGTAAGAAAAGGTAAGTACTAAATTTTGACCATAAATGCATCTACGATTTATAAAGTAAAAGTCAAGTGAGAAAATTCAAGTCAACACTTAGTATTGTATGAAAGGAAGAGAATTCCTTCAAGATTTCTCAAAGGAATTCCTACAAGATTCTCAAAGGTTAATCTCATTGTAAAAAGTCATCCTGACTCAATATAAAAACTAAGCCAAAGATATGGTTGGTTGGGGCCATAACACAGCCTACAAAGATAAAGGCCCACCCAACCCCTAGTTGGACAATTAGATGAACTCTTAAAACTCAAGGGAAAAAAACCCACAAAACAAAAACCACAGAAGAAAAAAATGGCAGAGGGGTAATTTCGCTTGTGTTTTCCCATTTTTCAATCACTTTAGCAAACCACTGTTTGGAATTGGGCACTAGGTAGTTACTGAGCAAACTTGTTCAAAAAGTATGTGTGTGTGGCCCTCTTCTGCCCATCCACCAGAACTGCTGAGTAGAACTGCTGTTGCTTCCTTTGCATGGCTCCATGGTACTCACATGATTGAGAAACTTGCTGTCTCTAGTGGCCCAGCCAATCTGCATGACACCAGAGGTGACCACAGTTACTTCATAGTACCATACTCCAGCATCTACACAAAACGTGCAGCGCACACTTTCAAAAGAGGAGGCATCACAGCGAGCCTGGAAAAATAAAAAAGTATAAAAAAGATAATCTACCATTAGTGCCTGGAAACCACCAAGTAAGTGAGACTGGCAGAGCTGAGTGTAATTTTCCTTGTTAAACTCTAGGTGAACTACTGTTATATCCTCTGCCCATCCTGAGTGACAAAAAGTATAAAAGCAAATGAAACACACTGTACATATGTCCTAGTTTAACTTCCAGGGAGATCTCACAAGATTGGCACTAATCTTACAAGACCTTGAAGACAGCTGCAATAAGAAAGGCTTTTGGCTTCATTTTTCAGTACTTAAAAAGCTTTGCTTTCAGACTAAAACCTTTTACAAGTGCATAAATCTTCACCTGGCAAGGGGAGAGAAAGGCATAAAACAGGGTACTGAAGTATAACCTAAGGAAGAAAATAACACGAGAGATTGTTTTGTAGCCATCATCCATCTGATTCTTTGCTCCTGACATGCCTAGATGCCTGGCACCTTCTTGTACATAAATAACCCTAACACTAACCTTGGGTAGCATTCGCTACACAAGGAGAAAAGAAAGCTAGGCCCTATGACAACTGGCTGTATGGGTATTTAAAAAGAAGGGGCTTCTATTTGAAACAGTAGTCTTTGGATCTTTGGTTGAGCAAAATGGCCAAGATGAAAAGCAGAAACTTGAACCAGTCAGGCAGTATGACAATGCCTATAGCAGGGTAGCAGCATGTGTGACATTACAGAGTAGATGAGCCAGGAGCTGGTGGCTCACGCTTATAATCCTAGCTACTCAGGAGGTTGAAATCTAAGGATCGTGTTTAGAAGCCAGCCTGTGCAGGAAAAGTCCATGAGACTCTTATTTCCAATGAACTTCCAAAAAAGCCAGAAGTGGAGCTATGGCTCAAGTGGTAGAGTGCTATCATTTGAGCAGAAAAGCTCAGGGACAATGCCCAGGCCTTGAGTTCAAGCCCCCAAAAGACAAAAACCCCAAAACCAGATTAGATAATGCTCTATAATAACACTAGCTCACATCTTCTGCTCTTAACTACTCTCCAGCTAGAAAATAAACTTCCACCTGTTCTGCAACCCATTTTGCTTTTGTTCAGAAGTAGGGCATGAAAATGGGAACAAAATGATTTTATTCCCTGAAGTCCATCTGTGAGAACTTTACCTCCAAGCCATGAGGTGAGATCTTCAGGTACTCGCTGACATCATTGCTATTCAGCATGGCCCTAATGCTACTCAAGTCCACTTTCTCATAAGTCAGTTGTCTACCTTCTTTTAAAACTGCAAAAGAAAAAAAGTGGTCATGTTTCCTAGACAGGCTGCTATGGGAAGAAAAGGAAAGCTACTGTCAACTGCCACCTCCATCTACCACCAGTATCAAGGAGCAGAGAGAATCAGTGGTGAGCTTAGCACCTTATATGTGCTGCTACACTATCACATGAAGGCGACAAGCAATTCCAGGTAAGGAAGCCCTGGGGAAGCTTATGCTTTCATCCCTTGTATCTATTATTTTGCATAAAACAACATTCACATTACACTATTTCAGAAGTCTTAACTGTCTTAACTATCACTATACTGAACCCACAATGATGAGGCAGAGGAGGGAAGTTTCACATCCAACAGTGCATTAGCCCAGTGCTAGCAGTGAGGGGTGAAGAACAACTGTTACAGTTTAAGACATGACTAGGGATTAAAGTACAAAGCTGAGAGGGGGGAGGGAAGTAAAATGAACAAAGTCCAAGTGCAAGGAACAGGTCCAGAGGCAGGAGTCACTGGGGTTTGTTTTCAAGGAGGTGAGGAGACAGTATGCATTGGAGAGTTGGTTACTTAGAGCCGTATGACTAATGAACCTCACTGCAGTAGGAAATGAGAAAATAAGGTTTAACATTCCTATAATTCTTATCTGAAGGGTCTCTTATAAAGGGCTCACATCTACTACTATGAAAGAAAGGCCAGTGAACCTATCAAAGAAATAGATTTAGAAATAAAAGCACATTTTAATGAAGGACAACTTCTACTTACAGAGATTGTCTAAACTCCACTGGGCACAGAAGCCAACTTGACGTTTCAGATAATCAGGTTCATAAGCCCAGGACTCTAATGTGACAAGCCTGTCGCTAATACTGGATTCGGAGATAGTCAATTTATTTTCACCTGTTGAGAAAGATGCAATTGTTGAATTACCCATGAAAGAGTGGAATGATTTGCTGGGTGAATTAGTGGCAATAGGGAGTGATGAAAACCAATTGGAAAAGTAGAAGCCATAATGGACTTCTACTAAAGCTTCCAGGGATGACACAGCCAAAAAGCACTGAGTACATTCTGGCGATCTCTCCTCTCTAAATGCTTAGTGACTTAGGTGGGAAAAACCCTTGCCTTTGTCCCTGTTGCACTTCACTGGCATTGAAGTGTCTATCCAGGCAAAAACAGAGTGTACCACAACTGCTAGGGTGTAAAGCGTACGCTCACTCAATAACTCAGAAAAGTAAGAGTTTTACATCATAGAAGGTCGTTAATGCAGAGAAGTCACTATACCTACTTGTCTGTGCAAACTTTTCCAGTGCGATAAGTGCAAAAAGCATGACAGTGGGGTGGGACTGTAACTTCTGAAAGACAACACAAGACAGAAACAAGTTATTTCCAGGCAGAGGCAGCAAGCTATCAGTTCCTTCTTCTTGCCCAATATGTGATTACACACACATATATATTTTAGCAGTCAGAAAAACTTCACTCATTCAAGTCCTTTATTGTCCATTTGGTTAATAGTGTTTGTAATGAAGAACTATGATAAGAATCTTGTAATCTATTTTTTTTCAAGTCACTGGGATTATCTATAAATATGAAAATTTCAACTGTATGTATCATTAAGTGTATTATATCATTTTACCTAGCAAAATGTGTATTAGGGCTTTGTTAACTAAAATTATTTTTTATTATCATATTCTTTAAAAGCAAGTGAAACAGAAAACTTGAATTGTTGCTTAAATTGATCTTTTATTCAGAATAAGAACACCAGGTTCCAGAACTACAAATAATGAAATTAACAACTGTTTTTAACCTGGTCTCTGAAAGGATTCCTACAAATGCTGATAACAGAGGAGAGAGCAACAAGTGTGCTGTTCATACATGTGAGTTCATATCCTGTAAGCTTGCACTTAAAGAAAGGTCTACCTGTTTTCTTGTTTTTATTTTTGTTTTTTGCTGGTCCTGGATCTTGAACTCAGGGTCTGGGCTCTGTCTCTAAGCCTCTCTATGGTCAAGGTTTGAGCCCTACCACTTGAGCCACAGCACCATTTCTGGCTTTTTCTGTTTATGTGGTACTGAGGGATCAAACCCAGGGCTTCATGCATGCTAGGCCAGCTACATTCCCAGCCCATAGTCTACCTGTTTAACATCCTATCTTCTTATAGCCATCCTTCCCCACAGCTGTGCTGCGAGCCTCCAGAGTGCTCTAGAACACCAGAGAATACCCATTTATTTTTCCAGTGCCCACCTAAGCAGGGAAAAGCTCATATAGCCACCATCCTGCTCTGCCACAAAGCTACGCCATTCTTGTCTTCCTGTCTCTGGGCTTCTACTTGTGGGCCAAGAACTCATTGTGTCTTCTGGGAAGAATCAAGTCCTAACTTTATGGCATGGCCCAGCTGAGGCTCATCTTCATTGAGATGTGTGTCTCACCCTTCATATGCCATCCACCTTATATTCTTGAATTTTTATGGCACTTAAGAAGAAGTTTGTCCTTGATCACATCCTGTCTTAAGATGGAGGCTCTGTTGTCTGAGCAGTTCTGTCCATTAACTTACTAGGAAAACTCCTTGAAGGGAAAACCATGAGTTGCCACTCCTGTTTCTTCAGTGTTTACTCAAAGCAGCAGTGTAAGGGTACTCAAGCAATATCATGTAGGCACTAACAAATAAGGTCTTTAACACTGGAGTTTTGAAAAAGGCCAAAATTTACTGTGAAAGTAACTAAATCTATATTTTTTCTCATTTTTCAAAATTATCTTTAAGTAGTTATACAGAGTGGTGTATGTGTATATATATAGAGATATATTTATATATATCTCTCTCTATATATATATGGATGGATGGATAGATAGATAGATAGATGAACTAAAGTTCATCATGATGAGAAATCTGAAGGCATACACAGCCTCACTAAACAACAAGCTTCACAAACTATATACAAAATACTCAGAAAACAGCAGCTTTAAGAACAGTAATAGAGAGGGAAAGGGGACAGGCCTAGAGATTTATATACACTAGGATCCTGGCCTGATGTTGGAATGCCATATAGCTTTGTTCCCATTGAAGAAGTCCCTATTACCACATCGGAGACTATACAGACACGCAAGTTAATAATGGCAGCTATCTTATGGCTAAATTTAAAACCAACCCGGGCGCTGGTGGCTCATGCCTGTAATCCTAGCTACTCAGGAGGCTAAGATCTGAGGATTATGGTTCCAAGCCAATATTGGCAGAAAAGTCATGAGATTCTTATCTTCAATTAACCACTCAAAAACCAGAAGCAGAGCTGTCGCTCAAGTGGCAGGCTGCTAGTGTTGAGCATAAATAGACTCAGGGACAGTGCTCAGACCCTGGATTCAAGCCCCACAACCGACTAAAAATAACTAATTTAAAACCTAACAAATTCAGATATTTTGCTTATAATAATTTGCATCCCAGTTTTGGTTGTTATTATTGTTGTTAAAGATAAAGGAGCTAGGTACAGGTGGCTTATACCTAGCTACTCAGGAGCTATTCACAGGAAAGTCTGCGAAACACTTATCTCCAATTAACCACCGGAAAGATGAAAGTGGAGCTGTGGTAGAGCACTAGCCTTGAGCAAAAAAGCTCAAGGACCGTGCCCAGGCCCTGAGGAGTTCAAGCCTTATGGCTGATGAGAGAAAAAAAAAAAAAGGATGTAGGCTGGGATATAGTCCAAAGGTAAAGTCCTTGCCTGGAGCACATAAGGCCCTTGGGTTCAATCCTCAATACCATAAAACAACAACCACCACCACCCTGAAAACAAAAACAAAAAATATCAAAAAAAAGCCCAGGACAGAATAAGTAAACAAATAAAATATAGACCTGATTCTACTCTCTGTGCCAAGAACTATATGGCAAATTGAGAAAAACAAACAATTCTACATGACTAAGAATAACTAGCCACTTACCAGACACTGTAGCAAATATTCCAGTATTCCTGGGCTAAGTAAACCTATACTTGCAGGACCTAGACAAATACAAGAGACACTGGATATAATTAAGAGTACCATGTTATTTTTAATTGATAACTAATGACAAATTGCTAGTAGAACTCTGAATGCTTTACAAAGTGCTCCATGCATATTCTCTTCCTCAAGCCTCCTATTCTTATTCTTCTTCCTTTTTTTTTGGTTGGTGGTGGGGCTTGAATTCTGGGCCTCGGCTCTGTCCCTGAGCTCTTCAGCTCAAGGGGAGTGCTCTACCAATTGAGCCACAACACCACTTCTGGTTTTCTGGTGGTTAATTGGAGATGAGTCTCATGGACTTTCCTGCCGGTGCTGGCTTTGAACCAGCCTCTTAAGTAGCTATGATTACAGGTGTGAGCCACCGGCACCTGGCTGAGCCTCCTATTCGATGTGTGGTTATAGTTACCATGTTCATGGCACAGCTGAACAACTGAGCCAGAGTGCAGAGATCAACCCAAAGGCACTGAGGCCCATGCCAGAGTAGAAACTAGCACCCATGTTCTGATTTCTAATCACTCTGCCAGTGTACTTGAAGGAATTAGCTGAGCTATTTATGTGAAGCTTTTGTTGTTAAAATTTCTAAAATGAGTAACATTCATAGATAAGTCAAATAACTCTGTCTCAGGAACTGTTCCAATTTAAAGTCATTTCTGTTAGGCATCGGTGGCTCATACCTGCAACCCTAGCTACTTAAGAGGAGTAGCTAGGATTTGAGGAACATGGTTCAAAGCCAGCCTAGACAGGAGAATCCATGAGACTCTTATCTCCAGTTACAAAAACCTAGAAGTAGATTTGTGGCTCAAGTGGTAGAGTGCTACCCTTGAGCACAAAAGCTCAGGGACAACGCCTGGGCACAGAGTTTAAGTTCCAGGAAAATGGCAAAATAAAAACAATAAAAATAATATAAAGTCTTTTTCTTTTCCCCTGTTGTCTGATAAGTGTTCATTATCTAGGTACATTTTATACAATGTATGTCACATGTTATTATATCCATGTGTAATTGTTGTTAAACTGAATTTAGCTTTTTTCTCATCATCATCATTACTATCAGTTAGGGTTTTGTTTGTTTTTTTTTGACAGAGTGTCTTACTATGTAGCCCAGGCTGATCCTCTTGCTTCTGCCTCCCAGGTCCTGGAATTACAGACCCTTATCATTACACCAACCTTTCCTTTAATTTTTTTTTTTTTTTTTTTTGGGATCCGGTCATGGGGCTTGAACTCTGGGCCTTGGCGCAGTCCCTCAGCTCTCCAGCTCAAGGCTAGCGCTCTATCACTTGAGCCACAGTGCCACTTCCGGCTTTTTTCTTTTTGCTTATGTGGTGCTGAGGAATCG